AGAAAGAAAGAAAAATGAAACCAAATATCCAAGAAAAGAAAGGGAGGGAAGGAAGGAGGGAAGGGAGGGAGGGAGGGAAGGAGGGAGGAAGGGAGAAAGGAAGAGAGGGAGGAAAGAAAGAAAAAGGAAAGCAAACCTTCATGTATTAAATCTGTTTCAGGGTACGGGAGGAAATGACAGTTGGCAAATCAGGGATAAATGCTTTTATAAATGAAGAATCATTTGATAAAAAGCCAAATTTCAGTGATAGCATATGACAGTTTCTTTCTTTCTTTCTTTCTTTTTTTTTTTTGAGACAGAGTCTTGCTCTGTCAACCAGGCTGGAGTGCAGTGGCGTGATTGTGATCTCGGCTCACTGCAACCTCCGCCTCCCAGGTTCAAGCGATTCGCCTGCCTCAGCCTCCCGAGTAGCTGGGACTACAGGCGTGCACCACCATGCCCCGCTAATTTTTTGTATTTTAGTAGAGACGAGGTTTCACTATGTTGGCCAGGCTGGTCTTGATCTCCTGACCTCGTGATCCACCCATTGTGGCCTCCTGAAGTGCTGGGAGAAGTACAACGCGCTCGGCTGACGGTTTCTTCAAGGTTATTTAGTTTACTCCTCACCAGGGTGTCAGAATACAGCGTTAGGAACGCTCTCTGTGGTGACTCAATGTGACTCGATGACCACAGGACCCCCAGAGTGAGCCAGGGCTGGTAGGCAAAGCAGACGTCACTACAGAGAGCTAGCAGCTTGCTGCGGGGAGAGAAGAGGGACGTGGTCTCGGGTCCAGACGTCCTCAGCCACAGTAGCAGCGTGAAGGAAGGAAGGTGCATTGAGGGGGGACCCAAATGCTCCTCCACTCCCTGCCTTCCTCACAGGAACTTCCCGTAACACAAACAGAAGTAACAGTGCCCTTCGTCAGGAGGTTGTGGCAATCCAGAGTGGAAAAAGGTGCCTCGGGCAGGGCGAGGGGGCTTATGCCTCTAATCCCAGTGCTTTGGGAGGCTGAAGTGGGAGGATCGCTTGAGGCCAGGAGTGCACTATGATTGTGCCAAGGCACTCCAGCCTGGACAACAGGGCAAGACCTTGTCACTAAAGAAAGAAAAAAGGAAAAGAAAGGATGTCTCAAATGTTCTGCCATTCCTTCAACACATATCTGAATGTCTGCTCTGGGCCACTGAAATAATGAGGAAGGTGAGTGTAAGGGCGAGTTAGGAAGAAGTAGCAGCACTTAGCCCCAGCCGCATGTGGGGGCTTAGGGAACATGAAGAATGCGGGCTGGCTCTCCCGCTCTTGGGCTGGGTACCACAAACCACCAGCATCAGGAGTATGAAGCCTTCCTTTCTTAACCTAAAGAACTTGATGTCCAATGCCTAAGCTATATCCCTCAGGAAGCAGAGCGGTACCCACCCTACTGCCCAACCCTCCAAGGTGACCGTGATCCTCCTGCCCACCCTGGAGAGGCACGCCTCACTCAGCAGCATCATTTCTTTCATTGTTAACTTGCAAAGATGTTCCTGGACCCAAGAACAATCCTCACCAAAAAAAAGGCAAAGGCAGACAGACACTTCTGAAGCTATCAAGTTACCCAAATAGGCAGCTGGCCTCAGCCCAGGGCCTGCTGGGGATCCAACCTTTACCCGACATTTGAACGAGGTAAAAGTTGAAATTTACACAAGGTAACAAATATTTGAAGCTAGCAAGCAGAAAAAAGTCCTTACTTGTGTTAAGCAATCAATTTGTTTAAAAAACATATCCTGTACATGTCGTCAAAGAAACTGTTAATAGTGGTGGCATCTGGAGAGGGGAACCAAGTGAGAAGGACTCTACTCTGTATCTGTACCTTTAAAAAAAAAAAATAGAGACAGGATCTGGCTCTGTCACCCAGACTGGAGTGCAGTGGTGCAATCATAGTTCACTGCAGTCTCCACCTCCTGGGCTGAAGCCATCCTCCTACCTCAGCCTCCTGAGTAGCTGGGACCACAGATGCACTCCACCAGGCCTTACTAATTGTTTGTGGAGACAGGGGTCTGGCTCTGTTCAGCCCAGGTTGGTCATTCCTGGCCTCAAAGCAATCCTCCCACCTTGGCCTCCCAAAGCACTGAGATTACAGGCGTGAGCCACGAGTCCAGGCCCATTCGTGCCTCTTTAACTTTGCATCGTGTGCTTATATCGCTTATTTGTAAAAACAACAACAACAACAACAAAAGTCTTCACAAGAAAAGCTCAAGACTGGCAGAAGACAATTGAGGCCTCTTTAAAGTGTGTTGGAGAGAACCTCTCCAACACAGACAATCTCGAACAGCCATTTTAATTCTCAAAACACCAATTCTTCCGGAATTCAAGTTCAGGTTTCCACCAGCAACAGAACTCTGGCCTGCCAATAATAACCATGCAGAGTGACTAAACATTTTTTCCAACAAAGGAAAAAATGCAAACGATCAAAGTGCAGAAGCAGCCCTTGGCCAGCGCAGGCGCCGGTTTCCGCCTCCCGCCGCCGCTGCCACCGCCCCTGTGCCTTTAGATTTCGGGCAGCAAGTTTAATTGCTTGCTTGGAACGCGTCCTCGGAAGGGCACCGCCAGTAACTGCGGCTTCGCGCCCCGCCTCTTCCCCCAAGCCCCGGGCGGGCGTCACGTGACGACTGAGAAAAGTAGGGGAAAGGTCAGCAACAGCCCCGCCCCCGGGCTGGCGCGTCCCAGGCGCTCGGATCCTGTTCCACCCGCCGTGCCCACAGAGACCTTCCGGAGCGAGCTGGCGCGCGTCCCTGTGGCCACCCCAGCGACAGCGGGAGAAATGCAACGCACCTCTCCGTGGAAAGGTCGAGCCCTGCGGTGCCCAACTTTGGGGACAGCTCGGTGCTCAGTGCTTCTGATGACAGATGCTGCATCCAACGAGCCAGAAACGCAGGCACCGCGCTCAAGAGCCCAGGGCGCGTCTAAAAGGGGCTCACTGTGAAGCCCCAGTGAAAACTGACAGTGTTTTTATGAATGGGCACGCGGGGCCAGGGTTGGGTAAGGGCAGGTCCTCGTTCCAGGACTCCCCGGAGGCCCAGCTTGACCGCTCGGTGACCACTGGTCCGGGGCTGGGGCCAAACACAGCAGCCGCAGCAGCATCGGAAGGAACCCAGTTTAATTCTCTGCCCCAGGGTAGGCGGCTTGTGTTTAGTACCAACTCGAAACGTTATTTTGGCCTGTGCATGATGCTAATTTCTGCCACTTTGAAACAAAGTGTGTGCACTCCCAAACCTGGCCCTTTTTACTGTTTGATTCCAACTGTTAAGATAGAGTTCAAGTGCAAGGTCGAGGCAGCAATGCTTCACAGGAAGGAAACCAGTAATTTATATGCGAAAAGCAGCCCACAGGTTCTTGGTATTGAGGCAAAATCAACCCAAAGAATCCCCAGACCAAATGACAGCTGGATGCTCGCTGGCCTCAGCGGTGTGCATTCTCAGCGACACTAATGTCCTCAATTTAATTGCTACGTTTACTCGGTTAGAGTCGCCTTAAAGAATTTGGAAAGGCCCGGGGGTGGGGGTGCTTCCTGGCATAAATAAAAGACCGGGGCTCAGCCACTTTTTATTCACTTGGTGTGTGGCTTAGAAGGAAATAAACATGCTTGCATATCTGGAATGACCAGAAACCAGACACCTGTGGAAGAAAATGGTGTAACAAAATACACCGTTGCAAAAGGTAAAACCGATTTTCATTTTATTCGGTAACTTACAAAGTTACCGGCTTCCTACTAAAATCTGTTCTTAAATATTTTATAACACACGGAGCCGAGAGGAACCGAAAGCCTGTGCCGAGTTGGGAATATTAACTCTGTTATGTATTTAACCTGGTAGTTAGTTGGGATTTTAACTCTCTGAGTTGTCTTCTTTTTTTCTTTTTTCTTTTTTCTAAGTAAGATCAGCCCTCATCTTTGAGTCCTGCGGCTTTAAGGAAAGCCAAGGGCGGATTTACATTATGAAGACGCTGACCCACGGCCTTTCCTGACAAAGCGAAAGAAGCCGGCTGTTGGCTGGCCGCGGCGGTGGCTCCAAGAAGGGGCTGCCCCGCGTGGCCCTGACCGCACCGTCAGGCTCGCTGGCCAAGTTCGCCAGGGCCCGGCCACGTGACACCCCCACCCTCCAGCGGCCCCGCAGCTCCCGGCCCGGCACGACCTTGGGCACGCGCTCCGCGCCCACCTGCCCTTGACCCAGCGTTGCACGGGAGAGGCTGCGGGCGCTCCCAGCAGGCACGGGGCCCGGCACCCTCATCCTGCTCACGGCAGCACTCGGACCGCGCCTGGAGTCCCTGCGCCAAGGGCGTGTCCCGACGGCTGCACTGCGAGGGCGGGCTTGGGGAGGGGGACCGGGGAGACCGGGGCTGGGATGGGGTCAGCGGCGTTCTGCCGAATCCCGAGGGCCAAGCATCCCTCCCTCAGCCGCACTGCACCTGCTCGCAGGTGACCGATCCACGGGCGGACCCTCAGACCCAATCCTCTCCGGAGCCGGGGTGGGATGGGCAGGGACAGGAGCCGGAGGCCCTACTGGCCCCGGGCGAAGGCATCCTGGAAAGCATCCAGAGCGTCCAGCATCCCTCCCGCGGCCACCCGCAGGCAGACCGACCCCCGGTCAGACCCTCAGACTCAATCCAGTCCGGGGCAGATTAAGGAGTGGGAGACAAGGGAGCCGGTGGCCCTGTTGGCCCCGGGCCGGAGGCCTCCAGCCAAGTCCGGAGGGCCGAGCATCCCTCCCACGGCCGCACGGGACCCGCCTGCTGACGGACCGACCCCCGGCAGGCCCCCAGACCCAATCCCCTGCGGGACATGGGGAGCCCCGGCCCCTCTCCGGGTTAAGGATCTCCACAACCCCGCCGTCCGGGGGGAATACCGGGGTTCCTCTCGGCGTCCCGGTTCCGGCGGGGTCCCCCACCAGGTCCGGTTCCCGGCAGCCCCGCGCGCCGCCCGTGCCCGGCTCCCGCAGCCCGCAGGGCCGCTCCGTCACCCTCCCCACCGCGCGCGGCCGGGCCTCACCGAGTCAGCGACGGAGGTGCGGCAGCGGCAGCGGCGGCGGCAGCGGCAGCGGCAGCGGCGGCGGCAGCGGCGGCAGCGGCGGCTGAGTGAGCGAGCGGCGAGCGGGCTCCGGGGAAGGAGGGCCGCGGGTGAGGCCGAGCGCACCCGACGCCGGCGGCAGCGGATTGGCTGAGGCGGGTCCGGCTGCGGCGCCGGCGGGCGGGGGACTCCCGGCGCGCGGAGGGCGGACCCGGGGCCTGGGCGGGGCGGGGCGTCCACGGGGCGAGAAGGGGAGGGAAACTGAGGCTCCCGCGGGTGCTCGCGTCCTCGACCTCTGCCGGAATGGGGTCTAGGACGAAATTCCTCACCCTCCGAGCCTCAGTTTCCTCATCCGTAAAATGAGTCATCTCGTGGAGGCCGTGCGCATAAAATGCTTGGCTATGTGCCTGGCTCATGCTCGCGACTTATCGGCATTGCCCGGTGTAATGCTCCAGGCACCCCCTGATGGTATTCACCCCCGACTCCTTTATGCAGACAAGGGTGGCGGGCCAGGAAATAAGTTGTCCAACGTCACTGAGCTGAGGAGCAACCGATCCACCGGGAGTGGTGGCGCGCGCCTATAATCCCAGGTACTCTGGAGGCTGAGGAGAGAAGATCGCTTGAAGCCAGGAGTTCAAGGCCAGCCTGGGCAACGTAGGGAGACCCCGTCTCTAAAAAAAAAAAGCGGGGGGAATGATAGACCGGACAGTGGGTCCAGATCTGACTCCACAGCCCATGCCCCAAATCAGACCTTATACCACGAGCGATCCGGAGGCAGCGTGGCTCCTCCTCATCTAGCTAGGATATAAATGCCTTCCTTACTGGGCTTTGGTGAGATTTACTAAAATAATTCTTCCAACGTCAAGAACATAATAGGTGCCAGGAGAGGAGTAGCTGGAGTCCAGGGCAGAGTGACCGAGAGACCCTTGTGCTGGAGCTCGGGAGAGGGGCCGGGAGCGGGAACTGAACATCCACCCGTCCCAGGAGTCTAGGGCGAGCGCAGCTGCAGGGGACCCGGGGGGTTGACGGGGAGGGAGAGGGGCCCCAAGCATAACAGGAGGGCCAAGGGGCTCTTCCTGCCCGGGAGCTACCCCTCCCCTATCTTTACCCGCAATGCTTCCAGGCGCGAGCTGGCAGCTCTGCATACAGCAGGTGCTCCATAAGTGCACCGATTTTATGAACAAAGACTCTTTTAAACCATTTTTTATTAACCCGGCTCTTTTTAAGGTCGACTACTTCTACTTATGAAAAATCCATGTTAGCAACCATCCTTCTTTCTGTATTATTTGGCTGTTACCGCAGAATAATTTAGAAGAGAAAATGAAAGTTCTCCTTTGATCCCGCCCCCCACCGCCGCTGCAGTTAACTCTCCCTGCGGTTCTCAGGCTCACTGTTTTAAAGGAAGGCTAGGATGCAAGCTGTCTGTAAGCTGTTTTGTTTTCGCTTGGCTTCAGTCGTGGACATAGTTCTCTGTGGGGGGACGGAGATGACCGCGGGCCTTCCCAAGGCTGCGTAAGATTTCCTTTTACGATGCTGTGATCCATTTACGCGGCCCCCAGTGGACAGTTAAGCCCTCCTCCCCGCCCCCCACCCCACCATTGCAGGTATAAATAAAAGCTGCGTTGGCCGTCGATGTACCTCTTGGAGCTCCTGGTTCTCCTGTAGGATAGATCCCTGGAGGGGACGCAACCAGGCACATGCAACATTTTGATGCCACAGGCCAAGCTACCATGCCGAAAAGCTTACCAACTTCCACTACCACCTGCGCGTGCAAGCGGGTCCCTGTCTCCGATTAGGGATTATTTTAATCTTTGCCAATCCTAAAAGGAGGGGTGAAGGAGGGAAGAACCTCTCATCTCTCCTTTTAATTTGCGTTTCTTTGAGGTTAGAAGTTGGGGGTTTGTCCCCCTGCTGGCTCTTGTCTGGACCACAAGTGAGCCCGGGCACTCGACCCCCGCAGATTTCACCGCCCCAAAAGGCAGGGGGGCCGGGCCAGGGCACATGTTCCCGACGCACGGCTGCACCCCACGAGCCCTGGCGGTTCTTGCGCGTGGGGCTCTCCTTGCGCGTGGGCCTTCGCGGTTTGCGCTACAGAAGCTGGACTGTCATTCTCACCTCAAATGCCCTTCCCTCCTTTCCCTGGAACCTCAGTCGCCTACAGGTCCCCGCTCCAAGGTCACTTCCTCCCTCGCTCAGCGCCCCGGTGCGCGCCCAGCTGGGATTGGCCCCGCGCCCTGTCTGTTCCCAGGGCTCTTCGGCCTTGACAGTGCGCCCTTCCCTGCGCCCCGCCTCGGTGCCACCTGCAGGCCGGGCGGGGCAGGGACAGGTACCCGGTCTGTGGGGGCGTCGAGGCGCCACGCTCACCTGTGCCATGGAGGCCGTGCTCTCGGCGGCTGCAAGGAGCCTGCGACTGCAGCCACACTGGGGAGGCCTCATTCCCCTCCCGCCGACCACGCGGCAGCTGTCCTCCCCCGGTCGGCGGCTCCCCCGGCTGCGAAGCTGAGTCTATTAATAAAGAACCAGAGAACCAGGCCCCCCGGGGAGCTCCGGGCCTGAGCCTCAGTCCCCTGGGGCCAAAAAACATCTCCATGCCTGCCTCCGAAACTAGAATAATCTTTCTCAAGCCTTGTGGGTTTTTTTGGATTTTTTTTTTTTTTTTTTTTACAAATTCTGCCCCAGTTTGAATACTGTAGCAGTTGCCTACCATAGCTACAAGAAAACTTTTCTTTTTAATGCGGGTAATGTTTTTATTTATCGCTAAGATTTCTCTTTTTACTCTAAAAAAAACTTTTTTATGGAAAAATCCAAACCTTTTTGTTCATTCATTCATTCATTTTTGAAACAGGATCTTTCGCTGTTGCCCAGGCTGGAGGGCAGTAGCAAAATGACAGCTCACTGCAGCGTTGACATCCCAGGCTCAAGCGATCCTCTCGCCCCAGCTTCCTCAGTAGCTGGGGTCACAGGCAAGTCCCGCCATGCCTGGCTAATATTTTGAAAAATCCAAACCTTTGAAAAAAATTAACCAGAACAGTATAATAAAGGCCCGTACAACCAAAACTCAAGTTCAACAGTTACTGAGCTAGGGCCAAGGTATATGCTTGTGTTCCTACCCACTCCTGCCCAGTCCTACTGTTTATTTTAAAGCAAATTCAGAAATCCTACCGTTATGTCCACAAATTCCTTTTTTGTTTGTTTGTTTTTTGTTTTTTGAGATGGAGTATTGCTCTGTCCCCCAAGCTGGAGTGCAGTGGCGCAATCTCACCTCACTGCAACCTCTGCCTCCAGGGCTCAAGCGATTCTCATACCTCAGCCTCCTGAGTAGCTGAGATTACAGATGTGCATCACCATGCCCAGTAATTTTTGTATTTTTAGTAGAGACAGGGTTTCACCATGTTAACCAGGCTGGTCTCCAACTCCTGATCTCAGGTGATCCATCCGCCTCAGCCTCCCAAAGTGCTGGGATTACAGGTGTGAGCCATTGCGCCCGGCCCTCAAATTCTTGAGTACAAACTTCTAAAAGATAAATATTCTTAACTAAAAAATATGACCATACTAGCGTTGTCCCATCTAAAATAGATGAACAATTGTGACAGAAAATGGTAAACCCTGTTGCCTGCCAAGAGCACAGCTGAGTCCCCACTCGATCTCACCAGCCTCATTTCTTGCTGGCAACTCCCAGCAGATTCTGATCCAGAAGTATGTACGATATTTTGGAACTCAGTTCTGGTTTCCCCATAGGAAACGGTGTTGAAATCTCAGCGTGGTGTGCTTCCCTCTCCTCTCCGAAGCCTGTAGTCCCTCTGACCTTGAACCTTGGGCCCCTGTAGGTGTTGAGTAAATATGGTCAGTTCCACTTTGCTGAGCCTGCATCACCAGGGTTTCATGAGGACAGAACCGGGTGATGCAGACGAAAGCACCTGCACGCAGCAAGAGGACGTGCACGGAAAGGACTCAGAGCAACAAGTGCACTGTTTTCTTAACGAACAGGTCTGCTCTGACGCGGGATCAGAACACATTCTTTTGTTGTTGTTTGTTTGAGATGGAGTCTCTCTTCGTCACCCAGGCTGGAGTGCAATGGTGTGATCTCGGCTCACTGCAACCTCTGCCTCCTGGGTTCAAGCGATTCTCCTGCCTCTGCCTCCCAAGTAGCTGGGATTACAGGCACGTGCCACCACAGCTAATTTTTGTACTTTTAGTAGAGACAGGGTTTCACCATGTTGGCCAGGCTGATCTTGAACTCCTGACCTCAAGTGATCTGCCCGCCTCAGCCTTTCAAAGTGGTGGGATTACAGACATGAGCCACCGCACCTGGCCCAGAACACATTCTATCCAGCTGTTCCTAGCTGCTTTGCTGCCCATCTGTGCCTCAGTTTCCTCACTTAAAAGAGGACTGACTGGGTGCGGAGTCTCACGCCTGTAAACCTAGGACTTCGGGGCTGAGGCGGGTGGATCACCTGAGGTCAGGAGTTGGAGACCAGCCTGACCAATGTGGTGAAACCCCATCTCTACTAAAAATACAATAATTAGCTGGACGTGATGGCAGGCTCCTGTAATCCCAGCTACTCAGGAGGCTGAGGCAGGAGAATGGCTTGAACCTAGGAGGCAGATGTTGCAGTTAGCCGAGATCGTGCCATTGCACTCCAGCCTGGGCAACAAGATTGAAACTCAGTCTAAAAACAAACAAACAAACCAAAAAAAGAAAAGAGGACCTTGACCCAGGGCACTAATGAGCAAGCTTTCACCATTCTCCCTCATCCCTTCAGATCCAGGACTCCACTGTTTCTTCTGCACCTCTTAGTCCCCAGCACCCTGGCTGGCCCATTGAGGCACAAGGAAGGTCAGCAGGGGGTTGCCTTCCTGGGGAGGCAGCACAGTGAAGAAGCAGGAATGGAGGTCAGGAGAGGGTACAGCAGGCCACGGGGCACAGAGCTGAGTCTGGCTGGCTGCATGGGTGGCTTACTGCCCGTCTGGCCTCAGTTTCCTCACTTCAAAAAAAGAGGATGGGCCAGGCGTGGTGGCTCACCCCTGTAATCCTAGCACTTTGAGAGGCTGAGGCAGGTGGATCTCTTGAGGTCAGGAGTTCGAGACCAGCCTGGCCAACAAGGTGAAACCCATTCTGTACTAAAAATACAAAAAAAAAAAAAAAAAATTCGCCAGGCATAG